TTTTTTCTGTGTACAAGATTATTCAACTTGAAAAAATTTTCCTGAATCCCGAAACCAAGAAAGAGAGTGCAAAAAAATTACGAATCTTTTTTTTTCGTGCTATTACTTTGAATTGCGTGAGAACTATGAGTTTAAAAATGTTTCCACCAGGAGTTCCAAAAACCGGGAATTTTCAAGAGAATTCTTTTTTTTATCTTGATATTATTTTAACTCAAGCGAAACCCGTCAAAAATTATTACAAAAGTTTAAAATTTTTTTAACTACCTCAATTTTTGTTAGAAGTATATTGCTTCAACTAACAATGTCTCTTTTTTGGGTGATTTGTTCCTCTCTTTGGGTTCTTTCGTAGACTTATCGGTAAGAAAATGTTATTTTTTTAACGATATTTTATTTTTGGATGAAGAAATTTTTTTTCACTTTTTCAGGGAGTACCCCATTTTGCCCGCAAAAAAAAAATTTTTTTTCTACGGCAACTTGAAATTTGATTATTGTTCTTTAATTACGACTGAAAACGAGAAAAATCAGCGTATTTAAGTCCTGAAAATCATAAAGATTTCTTAAGTACCCCATTTTGCCCCCCCCCCTCCCCTAATTATATATAATTTTTTACCCGGGGATATATAAATTTCAATCAAAAATTGTTTAAATTAATTAATATATGCCAATATGAGTTATAAATGAACTCTAATAATAAGAAATATGCAATGGATAATGTTACATTCTTTAACATCCCCTAGTAGATATTTATAGTATCAGTATGTCTGAGATTTATGATATGATCAAATAGTCAGGAAAAACAATTTTCTACTGAAAATCCAATAAGTAATTTTATTATAAATTTTTTTCCTATTGAATAATTCTGAAATTTTAGCATTTGAAAATCTTATTAGCATTTGAAATTTTAGCATTTGAAAATATTATTTATTGGGAACTATTTTATTATTAGGAAATTATTTATTGAAATTACGGCGCAAATTAAGATTGAAATACCCGTGGATAATTTTCGTAATTTATTATTGGTTAATTAATTATTTATTCGGAAAATTCCACGCGGTTAATTTGATGTTGAATTTCAACTCTAAAAATATTCGATAATTTTAATTTCATCATCTTGAAAAAATTCCCTAAAAATTAATTTAATAAACGTGGATATTAAATCCAGGAATTTTAGTTAATTAAATTAATTGATGAAATTTTATGATGATATAATTAATAATCAATAATTAAATTCCGAGTAAAAATTGCAATAAAGAGTCCGTCAAATGTTCTGGAATTTTCTTTGTGCTGAGTGTTAAACTCGTGGTAAAATTTGGAATAAGTTTAGGCGTCGGTTTAGACCGGAATTATTTCAAGAAGTAAATTATTAGTCGTGGAAATGATTTATAATTTTAATTGTTAGCTAATGACTGAATAATTAAGTAATAATGAATGTAGTTAATTTTGGAAGTAAATTCTGTGATAATTGTTATAAATAAAAGTAAAGTTAGAGTCAGTGTGTGTGTGAGACACGTGGGTTATGTGTGTGAAGAAATGTGGAGTATGTGCGTGAGCTGCAGAGACTTCTTGGCTTACGTGGCAGTCACTAGGCTGTTGCTTCTGTAGCAGGGCGTTGTTGATAAGCCCTCGTGCACTGATGTCTTTGTACGAGGTGTCTTGTTGATAGCTAGAAGTAAGTCAGTACGTTTAGTTAGTGAAGTCTTGTTCTGGTTAGCCGAAAGTAGGCTAGACGATCCTCGTCACACTGCAGTCTTTGTGCGAGGTAATTAAATTAGTTCTGGTTAGCCGAAAGCAGGCTATAGTTTTAAGGGTCTGGTCAGCCGAAAGTTAGGCTGTAGTATTAAGTTAGTCGTAAGTGAGATAGTGTACGTGCGAGTGCACGAGTTATTTTATTTTTTTAAATAAATTTTTGGTACCGTTGTTAAATAAAGATTTATTCATTCCAGATCACCTTTCTCTCTCTCTCTCTCTCCCTGTAGATTATAAGCTCAGTTCTGGTTCCGGTTCCGGGAACCGCGTTATAAAACCCCGGTGGCGCCCTTTCTAATTTAAAATCATTTTGTTAATTATTATTGTATTGTTTTTATTTACATTAATTAAGGGGCCAATGAACAGGTAAGATAACCCGTTACACGTTCGAAGAACACATAACAATCATACTCACGTTTATTTAGAATAAATTAATTATTTAAAAAAAAAAATTCTTAGTAATAAATTTAATCATAAAAAAATAATAATAATATCCGTATGAATATACTCATTAAAAAAATAATCTTGGTGACGAAATCGGTTGATTGGTTCGTGAGTTATCGTTGTCGAAAAAATTCGGAAAAAGTGAATTTTTCAAATTTCTCTAAAATTTTGGGTTTGATCAGTTTGCGTTCAAAAGTGAATCATAGAATTTGAAAAACTAAGTGGAATTCTGCCTACCGCGTGAAAATCGGTTCATTCATTCAGAAGTAATTGCAGTTTGAAAATTTAAATAATACTGTTATATTAACCTTCTATCAGACTTTTGAGCTTGAAGAGATCAAAAGCATAGAAAAGCTATCTTATCTCTTTGAGCTCGGAGAACTCAAAATAACACGCAAATTATATTTTTGAGCTCGAAGAGCTCAAAAACGTCATAATTGCAATTTCACGCGCTTAAGTATGGAATTAGCGGGATGTTGGAAGAATGGCCTTTAGGGTCAACCGTTTTCCTATTTTTATTTTTAATAATATATTTATTGATTACATACTTTGACAGATTAACAGTAAAGTTACATCGTAATAATTAAATTAATTCATCAATCAACTACAATCTACAGATAATAATACATCATTATTATTATTATCAATAATTTTATATTTTTAAGTATAACTTCATACAGAATATAAAGAAAAAAATATATTCATATCACAGTCATAGATGAACAAATTACTCAACGATAATCTACTGTGAAGAAGAGAAACTTGTTAATCTTTAAAATTTTCATCATCAATCTAACATTTATCATTTATAATTCAATACTTTAATTTATGTATCATGTAAGTGTACATAATAACTAATAACATTCATTCATATCAAATGGATGGAAGATTTTATTTTGACACGATCAATTCTTGTGCATCGAAAAAAAATATACATGCAGCTTATTCTCCACATAAATCTTATTTCTTCTACATAGACATATTTTTTTTAATGATCAACGGATTACAATGAATATAATGATTATCAATTATTATCATTAGTCATGATTCATTGTATTATAATTGTAATAATTAATTACATTCAAAATTTATTATAATTTATAATATAGACGTATCAGTCTGCTGTAATGAAATTGAACATTAAACAGCTCAAGTGTGTCAATACGGTAATAAATATGAGACCCAGATACGTTCAATTAGCTTATTGTAAAACGTATGAATAAACTTTAGTTATCTCAACACGTTCATATATTTTGCACCATATTTTTTGTAAGTAGTCTTCATTGTGTTGCGCATCATTATTATCATTATTCGTTAATTATAATTATTAGTTATAAGTATGTGTAATAACTACAAACAGTTGAGACTGCTAATATTTGTCGCAAAGCTTATATTAACGACTCACGCTAATGTTGTAAATTGTAAGAGATAACACCGGAGCAAACGTAAAATACAAAGAATTTATTATTTATAGATTATAATAGTAATTAAATTTAAATATCTATCTTTCATTCGTTGAAACCCTGATTTTGGGTTTGTTATTCTTCATGCTATTGAAAGTTATTCTAAGTTTAAATATGAAAACGACAATATGTTACAATCCTTTAGTAGACTCGATTTTTATTTCTAAGATATACTTCCAGATTCAAATGTTATATCAACAGAAATCATAAGTTACAAAATTCAATATTTTTTTATCATATTCTATAGTGATACGAAATTATTCTTTTTCGTGCTCAGTTTAAATTAAATTAACTGAAAGTGCGAATCAGAAATTTTTTTATTATTTATTGTTCTAATTAAAACTCGATCGAGTAAAAATTTTATGAAATGAAAAATTTTTTTTCGTATCGAGAAAAACAGTAAATTTCACACCTATTTATCGATTTTTTTCTTTTTAATATTACGAGATTATATTCAGTATACAATTTTATAAAAACAATTTTTCCTTTTGAAATGAAACTATATTAACGATATATTCCTTCATAATTCTTTTTTTTTTAAATTCTGTGTGACAATTTTGAACCAAGAAGAAATCTGGAAAAGACTTCTTTTTTGAAAAAGATAAAAATGTAAAAAAAAATGTCCTCGTACAAATTATCCTGATGAGTTAGCCCTTTTAAAAATATCTAAAGCTAGAAAAAATTCTATTTTCTAATGAAAAAGTCATTAATAAATGAACCTTTCGTACATGTATATTTTTCTAGCTTAAGACATTTTGAACAAACCTACACAATTATTATAAAAGTTTTTATTTTTATGACTTAAAATTGATGATAGTCATGAACATCAACGTTATAAAAATAACAAAATTACTCGGTGTTTTATAGATCTCTTTTATAATTTTAATTTATCGCCGTTAGGAAATTAATTAGGAAATATAAAATGAACATAACTTTCATCACTTTTTTAGAAAATAATTGACATTTTTTAATATTTTGTTTATTTTCTTTTTTGTGAAATGTTTGACATATTTTGCGACGGTCGATTTATGGATCAAATTTAAAGTATAAATATTTTGATTTGAAACTAACGTTTCTATATTTCTATTATTGCTATCAAAAGAATACTCAACAAAAATAAGTCCTTACAATGAAAATCTAAAAATTAAAGACTGTATTTTCAACATGAAGAACATAACAATAGAAAAATGATTTCTTAAAGCATAAAATCTGTTTATAATTTAGTGGTAGATAGTTAATTAACTTAATAGACTGTAAAGTAATTATTCTTAAATTATGGAGCTTAGTAATAGAATTTATCAGTGATTACGATCATTAATAATTAATAATAGATAAATAAAGAATAAATTAAATAGAAGGTTGAATAGAATGTTCGATATGAGTCAACTTAGGAACGAGGGTCTGTAGAGAAAAATATCGCGATCGGTCGGTGGCGTCGACACTGGTAATATGTTGAAACTGACAAGGCTGACTGATGTTACTCTTCGTAGGTAAAACAAATTTCTTCTGTGGAGGCTGTTTCTTCTTCTTCTTTTTGCCGGGCACTGAGAGGCTTATATTCTCCGGACAAGAAATGAGACGTTCAATATGCTGCCAGAGATCATTAGCGGCTTTTGAGTTGTCGAAACTTAATCCCGCTAAGCGTGTGTGATCGGATGATAAACACATTGTGTGGAAAGCTGGTCCAGATACCTGTCAAATAGCTTTATTTATTAAATATGCTAATGTAAACTATTGTTAACAATCAGTTTTTTATTTTATCCATTTATATGTTCTTGTATCGACATTACGTGACACTTGTTAGTTGTATAGCGAAGTTAAGAAAAGTATTTACCTTGTAAGACGATAAATTGTCGATAGTTTCACGCCATAAAGTGAAACAAGTACCCCTTTCAGCAAGTAAGATTTGTATACGTCGTTTCGATCGAGATCGTGTTTCACCTAGATCTAAAACCACCACTGGAATACCGGTAAATCGAAGATCCCAGTGCTCACTTTGCGCTGCATTGCCCAGATATAAATTTGCCAGAGATTCACAAACGAATACCTACAAAATTAAATGTCTGTTTAGTTTTCGTATATATACATACTTTTCCGTGCAAAAAAAAAATTGTCTCATGATAAATTAAATTCTTTAATTTATATTTTGAAAATAATTAATTTATCAAAAAAATTATTTCAATTTTTTTACAATAATATATAAAATGTTTTTCGTAAGTAAATGTTTTTTTGCAACAATAATATCACAAAGAACTTTCGGCAAAAAAAAATTGACTACTCGATGATTTTCGTATTTATCATCGCTAGCTTAATATAAGTTTTTAAATTTTGCACTGTTTTGGTAATAATCTTTATCAAACTTATTTTGCATTACTTCTTTTCATTGTCTTAATTCATGTCGTATAAAAAAGCTAAAAATAATTTTCAGTATTTTTTTTTCCTTGAATCCATTTTTACAAGAAAATTTTAATTTAGACTTTAAACTACTTAATGAGGATTTTGAGGACCAAACTTAAATGAATTTCCTTACTCGGGGAATTCATCATCTTCTTATATTAAAAAGTTGATGTGACGTTTTCATTGTTGTTGCTTTTCGTTACTATGGCAACGGTTAAATAGTAATGAATAAAAGTTGTAAAAATAGTAATTAATAAAATTGTCTACTACAATAAACATTTTAACAAAAGCGCGCAAAGCGCACTCGATTTTCTAGTGAAATAAAATTTTTTTTTGCACGGGCGTAAACATAATTGCTAATAAACAATGTCATTAATCAACATTATTCTTTATTTATTAGGTTTGTGTTTTCGAAAAGAAAGAAAGTTTTTAAAGTTACTACCTTTATTTTTCTCAATCGATTGTGATTGACAGATCAATGTTAAGACAAAATTGAAAATGATTAACCTCGTTATTTATATTGAATAGGTCTTGTTCAATTATTCAATTAGAAAAGTTATTTTAATCGTGCAATCAACGTTTGCAAGCTAACTAATTGCATCAACCACAATTGATAGTCATAATTCTTAATTTTTAAATGTAAAAATTTTGTCAAAAACAATTTCGCTTATCTGAATTTTTTTTTTTTTTGGTCCAAACATATTTTTTTCGCGCATATATAACAAAAAAATTTTTTTTTTGTCCTGCATATCGTAAACGCACTAAAAATTATTTTTATTATTCTTATATATTCTCTCAGCGTTAATCCCTTGAAACATAAACACCAAGCATCTCTTGTTCTGAGTACTTATTTTATTACGTCTTTCTCAAAATACTCATATACTCTCAAAGTACTTATCATATGTATCTTTTTTTTTTCAATTTCAAGTAATTTAATACTGCATGTAATATAAAGATGTCGATAAGTACGACGTTGAAAAATATTAAATGGAAAAAAACAATAATTAAAATGTTATCTTTGCGGGATAAATAAATGAATTTCGGAAAGAATAATCTTCCTGAGAATCAAAAAATAAAAATAACTTTTAACTTCCTGGAAAGTTTAGAACATTAAATCAGAAGAGAAATCTTTGTAGTTTAATTTAAAAAACCCAAATTTTTAGTTTATCAATTTGAAATTCTAATAAATTCGTTTTATTTTGTGATTATGTGAAGGTGTGAAAATGTTTCAAAAGATTCGAACAAATTAATAAAAATAATTCTTGTATCACACGTTAATTTTCACTGAATTTAAATATTTTTTGACCCTAATCATTATGATAACTTACAAATTTTTTTTTACTCATTGAGATAAAAGGTGGTAACCTAACTTTCGATCTTTTTTTTAAATAAATCTTAAAGTTCGAAATAGGTTGTGACAAATTCACTTTTTAAATCTCTCTTTAAATCTCTTTTTATCCGTTGTTCACTGAAAGTTCTAAAGTTTTAAGTCTTCTTACACTGTAATTCTCTAAAACTAAGATTTATTGGCTAAGTATAATAACAATTATAATGAGATCCTATTGAAATGTGAAGACGTGTTGATGACGTTGGGCTTGTGAAACAGAAGATAAAATAAAAACCTACAACTTTCTCTCGTGACGAACATACTCTGAGGTGTTTTGGTTTCAATTATTGACAGTACTCTTTCACCTATCAGTATTATACAATATTCCTTTGTTCCGATAAAATTGAGAAGGCACACGGAAAGAACAAGATGACACTGGATACCATCTCAGATTATACTCAGTGACATCTGAAGTGAAAAAAATTTCAGATGTTAGCTAGTATAATTCAGATTATACTGAATAATATCTGGATTATACTCATTGTAATCTGGATTATACTCATTGTCATCTGGATTATGCTCATTGTAATCTGGATTATACTCATTGTTATCTGGATTATACTAGCCACTATCTGAAATTTTTTTTCACTCAGTATTATCTGGGATTATATCCAGTATAATTTTGTTCTTTCCGTGCATCTAAAATAAAAAACATTTTTAATTATTTTAATCAAATTAACTTTAAAGAATTTGTTAGATATTTAATTAAAAAAAAAAAAAAAAAAAAAATTAAAATTGCAGTAAGTTTAAAATCTTATATATTATTTTTTTTTATTAGTAATAAAACATATATTATATTGTATCAAAACAAATCGAAATACTTCAAACTGAAACTCTGTCAACTAATATTTTTGATGAACAAAACATAAATTATTGGATTATAGTGACTTTTTCATAATGTGTTCTGCAGTATGGACATCTCTTGTTTCCCATGGTATAATAATCACTTATCCAGCATAACAAGCATGCGATATAATGCTGGCAAGGAACAACTTTTACACATGCTTTTTCGTCGAAGCAATACAAACATTCTTGATCGTTTGCTATTTTTCAATGTGAAAATAATAATAAATTAAACATGTTGAATAAAATATAAGTATTATCTCACTACCTTCATTACTGATTGAAAGATAAAACATAGTTTCATTAAAACCACTCAATTTTCCATCATCATTACGATCTGAAAAAAAATTGATCACCATTATATAAAACGAATAATAATTCACGATGTTGACCCAAAAAAATCAATAATTTATAACTAATCATCTTGATTCTCAATTTATAAATGTAAATAAAATATATGCTATTACACTGTGGCCATGGTAATTGGACCATTAATAAATCTATTATGTTACTTTGAAATAATTGCTCTTTGAATTTTTCTAATGTTTGTTTTTTATGTTTAAATTTATCTTGTTCTTTCATAATTGTAGTTGTAATTCTATCATAATTCTTTTTCTTTGTAACTGGTGCTGTATTATTCCATAACTTTTCGTTTCTTTTAATATCAAATCTGAGTAATTCTGAAATACATTTTTAAGTTAAAGTATCAATAATTGTATTTCAACATTTAAATTTTAAATACTATAACTTACCGAGAAATGAATGCAACTTATTATGAGAACCTAGCTGCTGTATCATGTGGATATTATGATATTCAGCATAATCAATTGCATCCGTGACATTTTCACCCACGTAAGTCTTATTTTTTATAATTAATTTGGAGCATTTTTTAAGAAATTTAGTGAAAGCAGACAAATCTTCATATTTATCGTCATCTTCGTCTACTTTAGAGTTAATTAAATTTATTGCTTCATCAACTTTATTGTCTGGGAGTAGTTTTACAATGCAACTCAGAAAAAAAAACTTCATGATCATAATTAACCGGCAAATCGAGGCTGTTCCACTTTCTACTCAATAACTACGGTTAAAATTTTAATTATTATTATAAATAAGTTAAAATATTTGAACTAATAAATACATTAATATAAACAGTTCAAGCATACTTTGACAAAACTGTATAAAGATCCTTTAATTTCAATGAGAGGCAGAACTTTTTCAATTTCACCTATCAATAAATTATCAAAATGACATTTAATAACTTTTAAATTTTCAAATATTTTCTTTTCTTTTAAATGATTAAGAATGGAATTATATAATTTTTCACTTCGTTCACTACAAATGATGTACAAAGCCGTGATTCCCTAGTTATAATAACAAGAAATCATTAAATGTATACTATAAATTTAAATATAAATAATTGAAAAAATTATAGCAGTCGTACTTCATTCCCTTTTGTGTAGGTGAAATGTCAAAAGTTGATCTGCTTCTGGCCTTACTGGCAGACACTGTAATTAAAGAGAGTCTTAAAAAATATTCAAGTAAATAAAAAAATAATAATTTGTAAGATCCTATGTTGGTATTAAAATTATTAATTTTTAATAAGTTATTAATTTTTACCCTAAATGACTCATCAATCGATAATGACTCAGCAGTTTTGATATTGTTTAATAAATTTTTTGATCCTAATAGTAAAGCAATGGCTTCTCCATCGTCTGTTAAAATTTCTTGTAGAAAAATTTGTTTGTACAAATCATTAGTTTCTAACATTCTTGATAATTCAAATAGAGTATCAGGCTGTTCTTTTTTATATCCTTCGATAGTTCTAGACACTATCTTTCTAGCAGCATTTAGTGAAATTGGTGAATTTTGATAACTAAAATAAAATAAAGATTTTTTAATCGTAATTTACGCACCTTGGGAGGAAAGTAGGACATTCCAATCCGCGTGTTTGCCACCCTCGCCTTCGGCTCGGGTGGCAAATGTCTACTTTTCTACTTTCCTCCAAACGCGTACAAAATTTTCTAGCTAAGAAAATTGAAAACTTTCCAAAGTTGGATTAACCTCGTTTTTTTGAAATGGAGTTTTTTAATTGAAAAATTAAAATTTCTTGGCGCATTGGCGCTAACTCATTTAATTATTAAAATTTCTGTTTTACTTACGGTGTACAAACTTTTTTGACAATTTCTTGTACAGATAACGTTTCTGTAGATTTTCGCTTCAATTCATTGATTATGTTTAATTTATCAGCGCGTCTCGGACGGGGATGATTGTGATTTTTTTCATCTACTGTCCACTTACCAGCAACATCTTGTTCTAAAATAACTGGACATTTTTTAATAGAGAACCTTTGACAACAATAGTAACGCTCCACCGGTGACCGACACTTTACATAATCCCAAATTCCATATTGGTAAATTTTAGAATTGGGCTTAGACCCGTTTATTTCAATTAACTCCATAGCTAATATAAATGTGTTTCTATAAAGGTTATAACCTTATAGAAGTACATGTAATATTGTGACAGTTCTGACAAATAATATAATTGCTAAATTTTTTCAATGCCACTTCAGATATTTTAGCATCTGTCGATTGATAATCAATAAGTTCCTTTAAAAATGATAAATCATTATTTGGAGCTTCAGATGCGAGAGGACAAGTGAACCATGCTTTGATATACACTGTAGCAATAAAAACACAAATTTCAGAAACGGATTTGATTAATTTCACCGTCATTTTGAATTGTTTACGAAATAAAAATATTTTTTTAGTATATATGGCTTTTGCCATCCACCTAGCGTGGTGGAATGCACCCGGTTTTCGAAATTTTACTTGACTGCACGGAACTTTACCAATAAATATCTGAACAAGCTCCAAAAGTTCCCGGTAGTCTTCCCTTGGTTGATTTGAATCAAGTTGCTTTTGGATAAAGTGATTAATGTCATCAATATGATTTTGTATTTTTTCTTGCACATACGAATCTTCAATCCCATTAGAATATTGACTTATATCAATTTCGCCCCAGCTCTCTCGAAATCTTTTAAATAAAGGTACATCAGGACCTGAGGTTGTAGGTATTTTAAGTTCAAAAACACCCCTGAGGATAAGTTCAAATATGTGATGCCTGCAAGGCAAATACAATAGTTTTTTTTCAAGCAACCGTTCCAGTGAAACTGCAGCTCCTTTACTTGATCCTAGATTTGCAGCAGTAGTATCACAGCATAGAGCTTTAATAAAGTCTGGAATTCCCCAATCATTAATAGCGTCAAACATTGCATCAGCTTGCGACTGACCTGTTCCATCATCTAGTACTGGGATCGCTAATATTTTTTCAATTTGCCCACAACTCAATACAACTGGTAGTCGTTCTTTATTTTTTCCACTTGACGTTTTTAAAATTTTTCCATCCCAGTGAAGAACACTAGCATTCAAGTCTTGAGTTTTGAAAAGTTCTTTGATTTGTTTTACTTTCTCTTCACGTATTTTCACTCTGCTCCGACGAATAGATGATCTATTTACTATTAATGGATTTACGTCAATTTGTAATGATGAACATAAAGCTACGATCACACGTGCAGCATTACGATCGCTTATTTTACAATGATCAAAGACCGCTACTAATTTATCATCTACGATATTTATTGTCCCACGAAATTGTTTTGATTCTTGGTGCTGAGTAGTTGCCAGTTCGTCAGAAAAATTTGAAACCGATGATATTGTTTTTTGGCTCAATGGATTCACTCCTTCAACTTCACTGCTTGATGTAAATTCCACAAATTCGTCTATACAATTAACACAGAAAATATAAAAATAAAAATACGTAATTGAAATGAAGATAAAAAACTATTTTTAAAAAATCAATTAAACTTATCAAAATAAAATTATCAACTTTACCATATCGAGCTTTTTCTCTCTCCGATTTTTCACGACGTAGCTGTAGTAGTTCATCCTTCATTTTTTGAGCTTGGTCATTATCATCCGACTCAATATTAGCTATGTAACCCACTCTACCATCTTTTCGTTGCTCTGTTAAAAAATTCATTACATTTTCATTGACCATTAGTGCCGTATTTGCATGAGCAATGTCGAACAAATTCAACAATAAAGATTTAAATTCATCCTCTTTAATCTTATTTGAGTCTCTGCTTTTAGATTTTTGAAGAAGCTGATAATGCTCATATAATTTTAACAACTGATCGATACAATGGTCTTTTCTTTTGGTTGGTATTTGAGCTTTTTGCCAAAATACTTTAACTTCATCTATACAGATTTCAGCACTTTCACGTAATTTAAATTTGAGAATACGTATATGATAGAAAAAGATTTTTAACACTTGTAACTTTGAAGGCAATTTATTACCGATAATTTGAGTGTCAACATCACCAATTAAATAAATATTTTGACGTAAAATTATTCTTGATGTCATGATAAATAAATATTCCGTTAGATAACTCACATAGATTGTTTATTTTAATTGAAGGTTAGGTAATTTATGAATCTTTTCAAGGATAAAATTGTTTGAGTACACAAATACTATCAGAGATAGCGTTGCTGTCTCAGTCTATAAAGCCGCAAAAAATACAAATATAATATTTGCTTTTTTTGACGATAAACAAAAATTTTGTAAGAGAAATTTGACATATTTTATAATATAAATATTCATTTGATAATTATACTTGATAATATTAATAATTATCTATCAATTGAATTTTGAGCTCAAATAACTCTTAAGCCAATACATTTAGCGAAAAATCATAAGATAACTTTTTTGTAGAGCGTTGAATTTACAATAAATATGATACAATTGATAACTTTTGATTTATTTATGGCAGAGTTATGGAATTCTAAAGCACAAATAAAATTTTTTCCATGTTATTTCTATAAGAAACTTAGATCAGAGCGCGGACAATCTTAAAGTTAATATTAAGAGCTAAAATTTTCAGGCAATTTTTTTTTATTCATTTGGAAGCATTTCAGCCCCAGGGAGCAAAGAAATTCGGAAACATCCATATTAAGGTCCACCCTAAAGTCCATCTCCATATTACACTCATCGAGACCTTTCATTTGAGTACCCACATCAATTTTTCACATATTTCTATATATGTACGTATGGAAAATATGTCAAAATGTATGTGGGTACTCAAATGAAAGCTCTTGATGAATGTAATATCGTGATGAGCTTGTATCTTTAAAAATGTCAATAATTAAAAAAGTACAGTGCAATTTAACAAAAATCATTAATTTATCAATACAAAATTTAAATATTTACAGACTAGTAGATTTTTATTTCGTAGCATAATGTTAATTAAAAATTAATATCAGTAAAGAAATCAATAAAATGTAATAGTTTTCAACTCAAGTTATTGGAGTTAATTACATCATAATAATTATACAACTATAATTATAATTAGTAATCACACCAATAGCCTTTGTTAACAATAACTTCACTCAATCTTTTTTGCATTAAGTTAACAATGTTCAAACAATAATGCGGTCTTGTTGATAACTCATCCCAAACACTCTGAACGTAATTCTCGAGATCTTCGCTGCATTTCAATCGTTGCTCTGGTCGCCAGTTTTTAGATGTCAGTGCTGCAATTCAAATACAATTTTTAATAATAAAATTAAATAAATTTTTTAACTTCCCGCTAAGAAAATTGATAATTAAGAAATGTCCTTGTATCTGGTGAACTATTGACATCTTTAAAAATATAAGCTCATCCCGATGTTACACTCATCAAGAACTGTCATTTGAATACCCACATGCAATTTGATATATGAAAAATTGATGTGGGTACTCAAATGAAAGGTCTCGATAAGTGTAACATCGGGATGAGCTAATATCTTTAAAAATGTCAATAGTTCACCAGATACAAGGTCATTTATTATTAATTTATCTAGAGACAGAACATTTTCGAATGCAGCCTAAATTCTTATCATCATAAATTGACTATTGGAGAGAATGATATGAAACCTTGAAAAGGTACAGCTCCAGGTCAAACCGTTTCTAATTTTTGTTTTTCAAACTGAACGATTAATAGAATATTTTACTTTACCCCAAATATTCTCAATCGGATTGAGATCTGGTGAATATGGTGGGTGGGGTAAAACATTAACATCTGGATGTTCTTGGAACCATGCCTTGACGATTTTAGCCTTGTGAACTGGGCTATTATCATGCATGAATGTAATTGTGGGATGAGTACTGACGGGAAAAAGATTTCGAGCTGCTGGATACATAATATTATTGAGAACTTCAACATATTTGACAGCAGTGAATGGAACTTCAACTTTTCGGAGTTCCATTAAGCCGTGTGACGTCATGCAACCCCAGAACATGGATGACACTCGACTTGAACGGGCCT